TCACATATTGTACCTACAAAGGATGGTGACAATATATAGTAGGCAGACCAGTAGACAAGGAGAAGCGGTGGAATGAAAAGAAAACACACAAAGGCATGGGTCTACCATGAACAAACTGTTTGTGTGAGTTCTTAAGATAAGGTTTACAGTTAAAACAGAACTTAATTCAGAAGTTGTTTATATTTTAATTTGAATAAACCAGTGCAATTAGAGGATTTCAAAGAAACAGAACAGTTGCAGAAGGACAGATAGAAAAATATACACTTGTAAAATGTGTTTGCTTGTAAAGAAATGCACATTTACAATTACATGAGGTATACAGTCGAGTAATTTCTGAAAGGAGCTGAGCTTTCAGGCCCATACTAGCACACGAAAATCACCATGCTGTGATTTTCCTTAAGTAAAGAATGTATGTGTGTGTCAGGAACTGGTGTCTCTTTGAGTCTCGGTCTCTGGCTGTGTGAGATATGTTTCCTTTCCAGAGTGGAAGTGCATTATGATCAGCTTTAGGGAGTGTGTGTGTGCATGTGTGTGGACATTTCTGCAAGCACTTTGTGACTGAATGAAATCCTAACCTAACACACAGCATAAAAGAAAGTAATTTAAATATAAAACATAATGACAAGTACACACACTTATTCTGACTAAATGCATTCATTTAGCTTATTCTTGCATATATATTACACAATATCATTCCATGCTAAATTTTAATTTCATAAGGGTGTGTGTATGTATAACTCACAGGTTCATGTGCAGACCCTTGCATTTTTTTCTCTCCCTCCATCACCTCACTATGAAGGTGTGGACTACTCCAGATAAGATAAGAGCCATGTGGACCAAACCACTCGGGCTTTGCGGACAGGGGAAGATTGGACAGATGAGGTGGCAGCGCTAACAGGAAATGGCCCCCTTTGAAACAGGAAAAGGACGCAAAGAGTGTTTGTCAAAGGATACTGAAAGGATTGTTACATCAACTAAAGGAGCTTCTGTGTGTTTAGGTTGGTGTTTGTTTGTTTGTGTGTGTGTGTGTGTGTGCCGGATTTCTGGAAATGGCATTGCAAATACTTTACTATAAAGGAACTAACGGTAACACTTTAGAATAATGGTCCGTTGTTAACAAGTAACTATGCAGGAAGTAATAGGTAGTACTACATTAACACTTAACTTAATAAGTCAAGTCAAGTCACCTTTATTTATATAGCGCTTTTAACAATACAGATTGTGTCAAAGCAACTGAACAGCATTAATTAGGAAAATAGTGTGTCAATAATGCAAAATGACAATAGTAAACACTAATTTTCCAGTTAAAGACAGTTCATCATTGAATTCAGTGATGTCATCATCAGTTCAGTTTAAATAGTATCTTTGCAATCAAATCAACGATATCGCTGGAAATGAAGTGTCCCCAACTAAGAAAGCCAGAGGCAACAGCGGCAAGGAACCAAAACTCCATCGGTGACAGAATGGAGAAAAAACCTTGGGAGAAACCAAGCTCAGTCGGGGGGCCAGTTCTCCTCTGACCAGACAAAACCAGCAGTTCAATTTCAGGCTAGCAAAGTCACATTGTGCAGAGGAATCATCTGGTTCCTGTGGTCTTGTCCCGGTGGTCGTCTGAGACAAGGTCTTTACAGGGGAATAACATCTGAAATTTCCACAAAGAACCCAATTGTTCACTTTTAAGACGTTACTGTTGTGATTAGTAATTAATTGGTTATTCTTTATTAATTGGTCATAGTTCGCAAGTAGTTCTCAATGAGGATATATTTTTTTAGTAATTATCAAATATCTAATAAGTAACTACCTTTGTCCTAAATTTGCTACTACTTACTGCTTAGTTTAATCTTGCTTCTCTATTAGTTAATAGTATTAAGTTAAGTGTTAATGTAGTACTACCTATTACTTCCTGCATAGTTACTTGTTAACAACTGACCATTATTCTAAAGTGTTACCGAACTAACTAATGTCTTATTTTACATCTAAAATTCAAGAAGTATAGGGCTGCATATGCAAACACACCCCAAGACCCTAGCAGTATGTTCACTGATGCCTTTTGCATAGTGGAACTGTATATTTCGCTTTGTTCTGGAGTTAGACCAGTGAAATTATCTGTACTTTTTACTTTTGGAAAGACTAAATTCATAAAGTCTACACACATTTCTGTCATTTTCTACACCTGGACAATTAAGTTTTTGGGGGTTTTACATGAATAAGCAGTATTCCGTTCAATAGTGTGGCTAAACAAAACTAACTTTGTCACAGTATAGTATGGAAAAAGGCCTGGATGCCCACTGTGAGTGACCTTCACCCTAGTGTCTGTTTTAATCTTTAATAATGAGTAAAAAGCCAGGATCTTAATGAGACAGGCCTTCAATTCCATTTCCATTTGTCTTGCCATACAGTAATTTGGAGCAAAATCACAGCCGTTGTCTAATAGAGGGGGTCAAGCTTTTGCTACTTAGCACTGGCAGGTTAGCCTTTAATCTGGTTAGCTTCTGCTAAACATCATGTTACACAAAAACATGGTTCACTATGGTCGTTAAAAAGTAGCTATTCAGATTTTAAAAAGGCAAGCAACATATATTTTATCTCATTTTATGCCACAGTTTTCCAGAAATGGATCAATGCAGATGTTACTGGGGTAGACAGTTGCCCATTAATTGAAGCAAAATTCATTTTTCAGCTGCACACCCTCAGAAACCAAGATCTGCCTTGATAAATATGATAAAAAATCATCATTGTACATATAATACCGTATTTTTTTCCACAATATATTGATAAATGTTTATTTTATATTATATGTATTTATTATTCTTTGTTATTTTTATTCATCAATTGGCATTTAATACTATGTTTATTGTTATTTGTTATAGTTATATTGTGTATATTTCCTTTTCTTGTCATTCATGCTTAAAAATAAAGATGCTTGACGATGCCACAGAAGAACCTTTTTTGTCTAAATGGTTCCATAGAGAACCTTTAACATCTGAAGAACCTTTCTGTTTCACAAAAGGCTTTGTGTCGAAAGAAGGTTCTTCAGATTATAAAAAGGTAAGAAAGAGATGGTTCTTTAAAGAACCTTTGACTGAATGGTTCTTTGTGGAACCAAAGATGGTTCTTCTATGGCATCACTGTGAAGAACCCTTTTAAGCAACTTTGGCAATATTGTATATAAACACAATCAAGTGAATAAAGTACTTTAAATCAAATATTTCACCAGTGGTACATTTTTGGCGGGCTCCTAAAAGCAATATGTCAATTACACATTATTTTTATTCTCTCAAATTCAAAATAATCTACATTCACACTACTTTTGTATCTTTCTTTTGTCACTATCTCTTTCATTTCTGCATCTCAACACTCTCTTTTATCTCAGGAGAGATATTAATCGATCCAACCTCAGAATGAAATGAATGGATTGACAGAGGACAAGAAGAAAAGGTGGTAGCTTGTCCTTCAACTGTGGGTGTAAACAGCTGGATCAATATAAAAGACGAAAACTTCCTGTGCACTTCTTTCCAAGTGCATCGTTGTACGCTTTAAATCACAGTGCACCACATTTTTTGTAGAATTGCTTGCATATAATCCTTTTTAGAGACAAATATATATTGTTTTATTATGTAGTATTTGGTCGCTATTTTTCTCGTCAGCAGGTTCTTAATAATATATATATAATATATAATAATATATTAATAATATAAATAGAGCTTTTGTTTGGATTAATAAGTGAAAATGTGAAAAACGTGTAAGCGTGTGTGTGAGTGTTTGTGCCTGGGGTAGTGACCTATCACACATTGTCTCTGATTGGCTGTGGCAGGGTTCTGCCGGGGTCTGTGTGAGATGTCTGTGGAGGTGACTGCTCATCTCTGTGATTGGCTGATCCCTAGCAGCAGCTGTTCTAATACATAAAACTCAAAGTCCAACAGTCGGCATTAAAACGCCTCCAGGGCATCTGTTTGTCAGACACCACCGCAGCCAACGGGGAAATGGAGGCTCGGTGTGCTGGAGTACAACACACACACATACACACACACACATACAGAAATAACAGAGAGTTATCACTGTATTCAGGATATGACTTTCATTACAAAGACAAAGAACAAGTTACACTGTGCTATTTAAATAAAAAGAGAGATGCAGGATAATGACACAGGAGATAAAACTGAATAAAGAGTATCAAAAGAAAGTGAACGAGGTAAAGGAACACACACACACAAACACTTAATTTAATTCCCAGTAGCCCAGCATGTATCATGATTAATAGATATAGTTTAGAAGTGTTTCATGGGTAATTGCTGCTTAGCTTGAGTCAGTCATAACCACACACATGCACAGGTCAAAAAAAGATTAATTTATAACACTATAGCCAAGAATGCCAAAGATTAGACTATACTCACATATTCGTGTGACTAGATTTTTTTATATTGTATGAATGAAGAAAATATGAGTGGTCAGAAACTCACCAACTTTATGCTACAGTGTTGCTATGCAGTTGCTATTGAGTGTTTTTTATTAAGTTACTATATGGTTGCTGGGGTGTTCTGGGTGTTTACTTACTGGCTCATTTCAAGAGTCCAATCCATCAGTCTAGTGTTCTGATCCCTATATGGACTGCAGTGCAAATCTTGATACATGAAAGTAAAATATGAAAATAATAAATTAGATTGCTTAGGAAAGTATAGTAATAAAAATAACCTTAATCGTCTTAATTTGATTGTCTCCAGTCCATTGCTTTTCTTGTTCATGATACTCTGTAAATAGACCCTGGGTTCTAAAAAAAAGGCTTAAAAATAAATAATAAATCTAGGCCAAGAGCTATACAAATAGTACTTTATTTATTATTTTATAAAAAAAATAATAATACTGATAATTATCACCACCATTATTCTATATATTCTATTGTGGAAAAATAATCACAGTGACATTTGTCACCACCATTTATTAGTTTTTTAATTACTTTTATTTTATTTTGAATAAATAACAATCGTGATACTTGTTACCACCACAGAGAATGCCAAAGCCTGTAAGACAAAAAGACACTATCAAAGAATGCAGGATGCCCACATCCTATGATTACCATCACAATACAAATACTGGACCCAGTGACCTTTCTAGCATCTCCCCCTTTCTTTCTTTCTCTATCTCTCTCTCTCTCTCTCTCTCTCTCACACACACACACACACACACACACACACACAATTACACCCCACAGGCACACTCTCATACACAAACATTAACATACACTAGTTCAAACAGACAGATACTCACAAACATAAATGTGAATCTCTCTCATTATTCTTTCTTTGCACACGCACACATATATTGTACACACACACACACACTCACAGATTAGGATGGTGTTCACAGCCCAGTGATAGTAGGATATTTGGAGAAAGAAGAGAAGGTTGGGCCACCCAGAAGAACAAAAGAGAAATACAGGAGGGAAGCGAACAGAGGAGAGGATTTGAAACAGGTCTCAAATCAAAGCAATGCTGCCTCACACACACACACACAAATATCCTTTCCCCCCCCCACCCCACACACACTTGAATGCATGTAGCATGTGACCATGTCTGTCTCATGTCTTTTTTAGTCCTGAAACCCTCATTTTCTCTTTTGTGTTCTTCGATTCCAACTTTTGTCTCATTTTGAGAGAGTTTATGTGTCTGTTGTCCATTTGCCACTAGAGATCCACAGGACCGCTTCTTGGACCTTTAGGGTCATAATGTGGGCACCTTATGAGCATTAGCCATTGTGCATTAACTAATAATGAGGTAAAACAACATTCTGTGTCAGTTCACATGTTGGCCCATTTAGAATTACAGTCTCAATGACATATGAATGTGTGGAACATGAGTAGCCTACATTTAAATTATACATATGCACTTTTGTACATGAGAGCTGATTTAAGAAGTTTAATTTTCCTCTAAATGTCTACCATAAGCTGGCATTCACTGTTCATTATTTAGCCAACTTTTAACGTAAAATGTTTCAACAGCGCCCTCTGTTGATTATCACAAGAATTGTCTAGTAATGATTTCATAGGAATGCCACTTCAATCATTAAACATAGGCTATATTCATTTTTAATTGCAACATTTATAAATGTATTTCACTTGTTTCATTTCCTTATATATGCCTAATCTTTTCACATGGCCATGTTTGAAAAAAAAAAAAGAAAGAAAAAAAAGAACAGAACAGAACTTTCAGGAACAAGGCAGAGGGAGAAACAGAAAAGAAAGTGACCAACATGCCAAAGTAAGCCAAGACTCCAAAACATACTCAAGTACAAAAGTAATTGGCCATTTGTGAAAACGTTGTGCTGTTGTTTAATGCATTCAATTAGATATTGGTGTCAGCTCTTGTGGGAGACTGGAGCGCATGTGTATTTTTAGCTCTAATTAAAAACATATCAATGCTACTCTCACCCTTCTCGCTGGGAAGTAATGAGAGAAGTGGACCTTAGAGAGATAGTATTGCTGTTTTAGGCATTCTGAGATCCCTCTGGGCCGACCGGAGAACTGCCATACAGTTGCTGTCTCCTCTCTGATCAATAGTATTGATCAGGATTATGCTAATAGGTAAGGAATGAATAATGGGTGAGACTGCTTGGATCTGCTATGCCAGCAACTATACAGAATAGAGCTAAATAACGTGTCTACACAACTTAACATAACTGCAGAACTTTGTGAATAGCAGTAAAGAGGAGTGGCAAAATTCAGTTTTAAAACTTTACTTTTACTGAAGGTAAACTTAAGAACTTAAGACTTTGTTCACAAACTTGCTTAATTTCAGTGACAAAATAATGACAAGTTCCTTTTCATTGTAAGGGCCTGAGACTTCCCTGACTTCCTAGGTTGTTGAAGGTACTGGGTAGACTTACAAATATAGTCTGTTACTGATTACAAATTACATGTTGAAAATTGTAGTCAGTAATGTAATCTATATTACTCATTTTAATTAATGTATTCTGACTTCTTTTGGATTACTTTTAGATTACTTTTGACATAACTTGTTTATAAGGGATTATTGTAATAAAAAATAGAACAAAAGAGAATAAAATGTCTGGCATAGCATAGTCTCAAATATACTTTATAATCAAACTGTTACAATAACAGTGTAATTTTAATTACCTCATGTGTCGACATGATGCCAGGAGTCTTTTATCAGATGCTTTCTTGTCTTCTCACTACTTGTGAGAATTTTTGTTGAGTGTTTTTGTTATTAAAAGGAATGCGCGCAGCATCTTAACGTTGCTCACAACAGCATGGACGGCGTCTGGATATTCCTCAACAGTAATACCTCCAAAGGTATTTCCAAATCCTTTTAACTTCTAAGCGAAGAACAACAAAAAAAAGTGAATAGGGATATGGCCTTGAATCACAATTGAAAAATCGGACTGAATCGCGGAATCGTCAAAAAAATGGAATTTAGTACTATGTAACGCGGAATGTCACGGAATTTGCCAAATTTTGAATGAATAAATCAAAAGCAGGTCACTACACTTAAATTCAATTGCGATATGGACTAGTGTCTGTGAATTTTAAACCACAAAAAGACACGCGCTCCATTTACCTCAGAAGTTGGAGCTGGTATGACGTCACACGCAAGTGGCCCATGTAGAGAAGTAAAATTGACGCGTCCATTGACACATAGTATTTTGCACATATAACCCCATAGTATCATGTCCACAAATAGAGGTTGGATAATACTGTGTGCACCACTGAGTTTATTGAGATAAAGACAAACATAAACAATATATTACTACTGTTTCTCTTCTGTTGTTGCACTGAGCAGCCATATTGGATTCTGAAGTAGGAGTTGTTGCAAACCCTCCCAGATTCCAAGTGGAGTTGGGCGTTCCCGTTAAAAGTTTTTACTTGGAATCTCCATCTTCCGAGTACAAATGGAACGCACAATAATGTAATCTTGTATGGTCTGCGTGTCTGAGTGAATGAACGAAGCAGACGCGTGGTTTAACCTACTAAGTTACACCTGATGCTCACGATGTTTTCAGCATCTGTCCTCTCACTAAATGAGGACATAAACACATTACCATCTCCAGAAACTGCTCCGAGAGTCACTTCATGAGCATTTACCATTTCAAACTACCGTCGTATCATGTACACACACAAACAATACTTCACGGCAACCCGTCAAAATAAAAGTTCGTTTTAACTTGAATAAATTGTGACAGAAATATATATTGTACAGTTGAATGTACATATATATATAATAAGAATAAAAAAACAATAATAATAATTGTAATAATTGGAAATAAATAACATTTAATGAAACCATTAAAGTGGAATTAAATTTAGAATAAATAAACAAACAGAATTTGAGAAAAATGAAAACATAATTCATAGGGCCCTAAAAATAGATTTTTGTTAAACTTTTAATAAATTGCTGTTAAATTGTATAATTTTTATAATTTCATTCAACTAGACATGCTTTTTGATTAATACAATTTTATTTAACCATTAAAATGGAGTCCAGAAAAAATGTAATAAGAATTAAAAAAATAAAATAAAACAGATTCCAGAAAAATCATTAAAAAAAAAAAAGGAATTTGGGAAAAAAAATTAATTAAATTTCATAGAGCCCTACATTCAGTCTAAGGTACGTGTGCACGAGAGCCAGCATGAGCAAAAAGTTGCTGGCTGCAGTTCACTTAACAGCCGTCGGTGTTGCTAAAAACAAGGGTTTCTTATCTCTACTTAATAATTATTTAAAGGGGTCATATGATGCGATTTAAATTTTTCCTTTCTCTTTGGAGTGTTACAAACTCTTGGTGCATAAAGAAGATCTGTAAAGTTGCAAAGACTAAAGTCTCAAATCCAAAGAGATATTCTTTATAAAAGTTAAGAGTCAACCACGCCTACCTAAAACGGCTCGTTCTAACACGCCCCCACATGTCTACGTCACGATGTGGGAAGATTTGCATAACGCCGCCCAAATGTTCACCCAAAGAAAGAAGGCGTAACTTTTATTCTCGCTGTAGTATTGTTGCCGCCGCCATGTCGTGAAGGCGCTGTGTTTCGTTGTGAAAGCGAAACTTCTTTGGTTGGCCTTCCAAAAGAGGACAATATCCGCTTCGTCATGCCTGGGGCTGATCTGTGCTGGTCGCTGAGGAAATACATCAACTTCGCGCTGTCGATCGCCGGATCGGCTTTCACCGTGGACGAAGCGGAGTCCAGCCCGGGGTCGTCACATGTGGTTGCCGCAAGCCCGCCAGACGCTCCTTCGTCGAATCCGCCATCCGCGCCGTTCTCAAGCCCGCCGGCCTCCGCATACTCTAGGCCACCGCTCACTCTAGGCCTCCGGCCTCCGCTCACTCACTGTGACGCTGTTGAACACATTTCATTACACCAAATACACAAAATAATGTTCTTTTTAGCAGTATCATGTGACCCCTTTAAGGGTGTTTCTCTCTCCCTCCCTTTCCTTTCCATAATCAAAATGATTGTTGAATGATTTCATTTGTTGGATATTGAATACACTCATTGTCGTTTTTTTAATGTTGACTGAGCATGAGTGAATTGAAATTTATAATTAAGTAACTTAGTTTCTAAACTCTGCATTAGTTTTACATTAATTTTAATGTTAATTATTACAAATATTAGCATTTGCAGATAATGTGATGGCAGACAGATGTGATGGCAGTTGGCTTATCTCATAGAAAAATGAGAAATACAAGAAGACTGACAACAGAAAGGGAAGTTTATTTTGGTTGCAAATTGGATCATTCAATTAAACCATCATTACATTCATATACAAGACATACCACTTAAGTCTCAAATGAGAAATACATAAGCTGACTCGAAATGCCATTTCATGACATTAATATTGAAAGTTTAAGCTTGGGTTTAATTTGGATGTGCATGAAATTTCCTAAATCAGAGGGTTAACATTTGGATCAATGAGAAATTCAATATATAGGATTATAGACTTTATCATAATGTTGATTGATTTAGCATGTGCCATTTCATATTACAGAAATACAATTATAAATAT